TTCCTCACGAGTCACTCACAGACGAGGCTCCCGCTTGATACTTCCTCCAATTCAAACCTGAAGAGCCCAAAACTGACGACAGTTACAAGAATCCGATGACCCGCTCGGATTAATAACATGATCTGCGGGCCCCATAGAGAGGGGGCTCCCGCCTGAGACTTCCTCGCAATTCACTCACAGACGAGGCCCCCGCTTGATACTTCCTCCAAATTCAGACCTGAGGAGCCCAAAAGTGACGACAGTTACAGGAATCCGATGACCCGCTCGGATTAGTAACATGATCTGCGGGCCCCATAGGGAGGGGGCCCCCGCCTGAGACTTGCTCGCAATTCACTGACAAACGAAGCCCCCGCCTGATACTTCCTCCAAATTCAGACCTGAGGAGCCCCAAAAAGTGACGACAGTTACTGGAATCCGATGACCCGCTCGGATTAATAACATGATCTGCGGGCCCCATAGGGAGGGGCCCCCCGCCTGAGGTTTCCTCGCAATTCACTCACAGACGAGGCTCCCGCTTGATACTTCCTCCAAATCCAGACCTGAGGAGCCCAAAAATGACGACAGATACAGGAATCCGATGACCCGCTCGGATTCATCACATGATCTGCGGGTCCCATAGGGAGGGGGCTCCCGCCTGAGACTTCCTCACGATTCACTCACAGACGAGGCCTCAAGTCAGCGAGTAGTGATGATGATGATGATGATGATGATCGTTCGATGCCGATGATGGTGAGTGATCGCGGGATGGCGATGGTGATGCTGGTGATGATGATTGATTGATGATGATGATGATGATGATGATGATGATGATGATGATGATGATGATGATGATGATGATGATGATGATGATGATGGTGATGCTGATGGTGATGATGATGATGAGTGGGGAGTGATGACGATGGCGATGATGATGCTAGGAGGAAGGAAAGAGGAGCAGAGGAGAGGGAGGAGGACGAGAGATCCTGCGCGGAGGGTGCGCAAGAAAATTACTCCGACGGAAGGACCCCACATGAGAATCTCTTTAGCTTGCATGGGGGTATCCTCCTGCCCCTTCCCTTCTCCCACCTACTCTTGCCTCCTCGTTCTCCTCCTGTCTGCTCCTCCTCCTGCCTCAACCCCTGCCTCTTCCTCCTCTTCTTGCCTCCTCCACCTCCTCCCCCTCCCCCTCGTTATGCTTCCTCCCCCCCATTCCCCCTGCCCCTCCTGCCTCCTGCCTCCTCCTCCTGCTCTCCCTCTCCCTTCTCCTCCTCCTCCTCGTCCTCCTCCTCATCCCCTGTCCTCCTCCTCTCCCTCTCCCTCATCCGCTTCCTCCTCCTCGTTTCCATATTCCTCCCCCCTCCTCCCCCCCCCCCCTCCTCCTCCTCCTCCTCCTCCTCCTCCTCCTGCCTCCTCCTTAAGCCTCCTGCCCCCTCCTGGGGCCTCCTGGGGCCTCTTGGGGCCTCCTGGAGCCTTCTGGGCCTTCCGGGACCTACTGGGGCCTCCTCGGGCATTCCTCCTCCTCCTTTTCCTCCTCGCCCCTCCTCCCCTCAGCCTCTTCCTCTTCCTGCTTTCCTGTCTCGTCCTGCATCATCCCTCTTCCGTTTCCTGGCAATCCCCCTCCTCCTCGCCCTCGCGACGCGCGGAACACGACCCAGAGGAAGCGCGCGACGTGCGCCCCAACCGATACGCGCCGGAGGACGACCCAGAGGAAGCGCGCGCCGGAGGATGACCCGGAGGAACCACGTGAGCTGCGGGGCCCATAGGAAGGCCCCCGCCTGACGCGTCCTCACAATTCACTCACAGACGAAGGTCCCGCTCGATACTTCTTCCAAATTCAGACCTGAGGAGCCCAAAAGTGACGACGGTTACAGGAATCCGATGACCCGCTCGGATTAGTAACATGATCTGCGGGCCCCATAAGGAGGGGGCCCCCGCCTGAGACTTGCTCGCAATTCACTGACAAACGAGGCCCCCGCCTGATACTTCCTCCAAATTCAAACCTGAGGAGCCCAAAAGTGACGACAGCTACAGGAATCCGATGGCCCGTTTGGATTATAACATGATCTGCGGGCCCCATAGGGAGGGGGCTCCCGCTTGAGACTTCCTCACAATTCACTCACAGACGAGGTTCCCGCTTGATACTTCCTCCAAATTCAGACCTGAGGATCCCAAAAGTGACGACAGTTACAGGAATCCGATGACCCGCTCGGATTATAACATGATCTGCGGGCCCCATAGGGAGGGGGCTCCCGCCTGAGACTTCCTCACAATTCACTCACAGACGAGGCTCCCGCTTGATACTTCCTCCAAATTCAAACCTGAGGAGCCCAAAAGTGACGACAGTTACAGGAATCCGATGACCCGCTCGGATTAATAACATGATCTGCGGGCCCCATAGGGAGGCGGCTCCCGCCTGAGACTTCCTCACACTTCACTCACAGACGAGGCTCCCGCCTGATACTTCCTCCAAATTCAAACCTGAGGAGCCCAAAAGTGACGACAGTTACAGGAATCCGATGACCCGCTCGGATTAATAACATGATCTGCGGGCCCCATAGGGAGGGGGCTCCCGCCTGACGCGTCCTCACAATTCACTCACAGACGAGGCTCCCGCTTGATACTTCTTCCAAATTCAGACCTGAGGAGCCCAAAAGTGACGACAGCTACAGGAATCCGATGACCCGCTCGGATTAATAACATGATCTGCGGGCCCCATAGGGAGGGGGCTCCCGCCTGAGACTTGACCGCAATCCACTGACAAACGAGGCTCCCGCCTGATACTTCCTCCAAATTCAGACCTGAGGAACCCAAAAGTGACGACAGTTACAAGAATCCGATGACCCGCTCGGATTAATAACATGATCTGCGGGCCCCATAGGGAGGGGGCTCCCGCCTGAGACTTCCTCGCAATTCACTCACAGACGAGGCTCCCGCTTGATACTTCCTGCAAATTCAGACCTGAGGAGCCCAAAAGTGACGACAGTTACAAGAATCCGATGACCCGCTCGGATTAGTAACATGATCTGCGGGCCCCATAGGGAGGCGGCTCCCGCCTGAGACTTCCTCACACTTCACTCACAGACGAGGCTCCCTCTTGGTGGATGATGGTGATGGGATGATGACGACGGTGTTTGATGATGATATATGATTGATGATGATGATGATGATGATGATGATGATGCTGATGAGGATGATGATGATGATGGTGGTGGTGGTGATGATGACGACGTGATGATGATGGTAGTGATGATGATTGCTGAGGGTGAGTGATCGTGCGATTCTGAGGGTACATGGTGGTGATGATGATGGGGACGAAGTGGTGAGTCAGCGAGTAGTGTTGATGATGATGATGATGATCGTTCGATGCCGATGATGGTGAGTGATCGCGGGATGGTGATGGTGATGCTAATGGTGATGATGATGATGAGTGGGGAGTGATGGCGATGGTGATGATGATGCGGAAGAGGAAGCAAAGAGGAGCAGAGGAGAGGGAGGAGGACGAGAGATCCTGTGCGGAGGGTGCGCAGAGAAAACAAGAACCCCACTTAGGATGTGGGGAACAAGAACCCCACTTAGGATGTGGGGAATAAAGAAAACTGCGAGCCCCCCTTAATCGCGCCAGCTCCACAGCTTCGTTTTCAATTCCTTCCCGCTCCGGCCGCCCACTCCAAAATCCACGCACACATCTGTCGCGAAATCCAAATCGAACTCCCCAGGCAACCAGAAACTAACACGCTCAACACAAAAAACCTAGGGCACACCATATTACCGAGCGACCCACCACTCCGAAAACCCAAAAACCACCTGCTCGGTTTTCCACTCCTCCCTCCACACGCACAAGACAATCAACCTGGGGCGACCCATATTACCGAGGGCCCGGCCGCTCATGACGCGACGCTGGAGATCCCCGCCGGCCCCACCGCGACGCCCCCAGTCACGGGACCCCCCCCTGGTACTACTCACCACAGACGGGAGAGAGGACCCCCCCCCCCCCAAAAAAAAAAAAATACAAACAAAAAAAAAAAAACACGCTCGGGGGGAGGGCAAAAAAAAATGAAGACCAAACAAAAACAAAAACGACAAGCCGTCGCACATCCGCGAACGCTCCCTGGCACCGTCCGGCTGACGCCAGGAATGGACGCACCGCAGCTCGTCCGCCCAGTGCAGACAAGCGCAGACGCAGCAGCCGAGCCTCGAACGAACGGCGCGGCGACTCTGCCCGGGCCCAACACCCGCGGCGCCCGCCCCCGCCGGAGCAGTGCCCAGCGCGTCGATGTCCACGGGCGACAACTCCACGCCCCCACGCGTTACGTCCCAGTCCGAGCCAGGCGGCTTCCACCAGTTGCGCGACGCGTCCGGCGCAATGGCAGCGCCCCCCGACTCGGCGGACGCTGCGCAGGCCGGCTAGTCCCCAGAGCCCGTGACGAGGTGCTCAGAGAACGAGCATACGCACTACCGCCACTCCTCCAGCGTCACGGGCCGCACGCCGTCATCCTGCTCCGCCAGATAGAACGGGCGCTTCCTGTACTCAGGCCACCCGCGACGCGCACTGCGCATGCGCTGCATGGAGCAGGCATGCGCGGCAAAGTTCTCGTCGCAGAGACGGCACGGGAAGGGCAGGGGAGCCTCTGGGGCCTCCGCGAAGTCCCACATAGGCAAGCGCCCCTCCGGCAGCAGACCCACACAAACACACACTTCGGCTGGGGCACGCGCACGCGCGCCTTGCGAACGGCAGCGACCGCCGCGAACACCGCGGGCGGGCCGCCGCCGGCCTTCTCCTCGCGCAACTGTGCCTCCCGCACTGCCAGGCTATACCGGTCCACGGACTGGCGCGTCAGAGAGCTGTGATGATTCTCGGGGTCCCACTTCCCGCATGGGCGCTCCTCGGGTTTGCCGTGCCGACCACAGAACTCACCTCGACCTGCGCAATTTTTCCGTCACTGCCCGAGCACGCGCAGGCCCTGGCGCTGGCGCCAGAGGCGCGCGGCGAGCCACCCGACCACCACGGCCACGGCCACCACAGCCACGGCCACCACGGCCACGGCCAACACGGCCACGGCCACCACGGCCACGGCCACTGGACACGGCGACGTCACGGCCACGGCCACCACGGTCACGGCCACCACGGCCTCGGCCACCACGGCCACGGCCACCACGGCCACGGCCACCACGGCCACGGCCACCACGGCCACGGCCACCACGGCCACGGCCACCACGGCCACGACCACGGCGACGGCCACCACGGCCACGGCCACCACGGCCACGACCACAGCCACCAGGGCCACGGCCATCACGGCAACGGCCTTCACGGCAACGGCCATCACGGCCACCACGACCACGGCCACGACCACGGCACGACGGCCACGGCCACCACGGCCACAGCCACGACGGCCACGGCCACCACGGCCACAGCCACGACGGCCACAGCCACGACGGCCACAGCCACGACGGCCACCACGCCCACGGCCATCACGGCCACGTCCACCACGGCCGCGGCCACCACGGCCACGGCCACCACGGCCACGGCCGCCACGGCCAAGGCCACGGGCGCGGCGGCCACGGCCACGGCGGCACGGCCACGGCCAGGGGGCGACGGCCACGGCCACGGCCACGGGCCCAGATTAATAGCGATTTCAGGCTGGTCGATGGCGCAGTGGAGCGAGAAGGAGAGAAAAGCCGCAGAAGAAGAAGGCATGAAAAGAGGGGTAGTAGAAGCAGGAGAAGCAGCAAGCGGGGCAGAGAAAACAGATGAGGCGGAAGCGCGCAGGCGGCGACAGAGACAGACGATGCGAAGAGGCTGACGGCCACCACGGCCACGGCCACCACGGCCACCACCACGGCCATCACGGCCACGGCCACCACGGCCACGGCCACCACAGTCACGGCCACCACGGCCACGGCCGCCACGGCCACGGCCACGGGCACGACGGAAACAGCCACGGCGGCAGAGCCACGGCCACGGGCACGACTGACACGGCCACGGGTCCAGATTGATAGCACTGGTCTGTGTATCCGGAGTTCTTTGAAGTTCCAGGCTGATCGACGGTGTAGTGGAGCCAGAAAGAGAAGCCGCAGAAGAAGAAGGAGAGAAGAAAGACGGGAGAAGAAGGGTGAATATTAGAAGCAGCAGAAGCAGTCATAGGACCAAAGAAGACAGATGTGGCGGAGAGCGCGTAGGCGGCGACAGAGACAGACGATGCGAAGAGGCTGAAGGCGGTGCAGAAGACGGAGAAGGCAAGAAAGAAGAGCGAGCGGAGGAGGCAGAAGAGACAGAGAAGAAAGAGGAGCAAGAGAAGAAACATGAGACGCGACGGGAAAAAAGAAAAAGGGAGGAGAAGGAGAAAGAGACAAAAGAGGCGAAGAAGACAGAAGAGGCGAAGAAGGCAGAGACAGAGATGACAGCCCAAGTCTTTTAATTGGAAACGTAGCTTAATCCACAACTCACTGCAGGAAGCTTGCGCTACGAAACCATTTGCCGAATCTCGTGGGATATTGCAAACACCGTAAGACTATGGCACTGGCATGAAACGCGCAAGCGAACGAGAGAGGGAAAGATGAAGGCAGAGAAAGTTAATGCCCGAAAAGATCGCGAATTCCCCCAATGCGTAGACAATAGTTAGTCTCTTAGAAGACTGCATTTGTTAGCTGATACTAATTCGATAGAAAGATAGCAGCTACAGCCCTGAGACATCCACCAGCAAACCGAGCGAGATTCGATTCTCACTGGAACGATACTATATGTTTGAATAAATACTCAAACATCTTCGAATATTGAAAGAAATGGAATATATGTGTGTGTATATATATTGCACTTCACGACGAAGTCGGTTCCGCCAAGTGTTTCGATAGTAATACTGCAGCTATGGACCTATGAATTTGACTGGCAGACGCGGCACAACCCACTACAAGTAACAAAAAAAAACGGGTTCTCAAAACAAACTTTCTAATCTCTGACAATCACCAAAAAAAACCATGTCACTACATTGTCCTCCCGGGCCGGAAGGGGCAACTAGTTCCACCCCGCGCCGGATTTCCTCTGGCTCATCGATGCCGAAGAGCTCTACGAGGTACTAGCTCCGACCCGCGCTGGAACTGGAAGCCTGAGGTAAACCGTCAATTAGGTTTTCTGCGGTGTGCGGTCTCGCGGCCAGGCCCTCATGGGGCAGCAAGCGGGCTCACAATAAGCCAGGAAAAACAGCGACGCTGCCGAGCCAGGATGGCCGAGGCATACGCATCAAGGGCCTGCCGAGCCAGTAGGCGTAGGCATCACCAGTAAAGCAAGCCAGAGATGACAATCGCAACGGCAAAACCGCCGCGGACTCGACTCCAGACATCCCGCCTGCGTGGTCCCACTAGGAGGAAGCCCGTCACGCACTCACGCAACGTCAAGCACTCCAAACGAGGCCGAAGAGATAAGATAAGATCAAGAATACCGAAAAAGCCAAGCCAGAAAAGAGAAATGCCGAGCCCAGTAGGCTTAGGCATCGCGAGTACACGACAAGGTCGAGGACAAGGACCTTCTTTGAGGCATACAAGTGACCTTCCTTGAAGCATCCAATAACAGGTAATAAGTAGCAAATGCAACCGATCAGACTACATACACGTCTGTACAAACATACAGACTCACACAAACAACCAAGAAGGATCAGCAGTAACCTCACGTCACGGCAACAGAGGAAGCGAAGTGCACAAGATGAGAATTCAAGATCAGAAACGCCTCCGTCGAATAACGCACGGATCGCGATGAGAGTTTCACATGGACAATCACAAACTTGCAAGAATTGAGAAGAGCACGGCACGGCATGAGGCCACTCCGTCAATTCCAACGGGGGGGCCCAACACCAGCTCCACGTCCCATTGCATTTTGAATTGGATGTCTCCTTGTCATCATCGAAAACTTGCATGAGTAAGGATCAGCAGTAACCTCACGTCACCGCTACAATTGAAGCGAAATGCACACGTAAGAGAACTCGAGATCAGAAACCCCTCCGTCGAATAACCCACGGATCGCGATGAATGTTTCACCTGGAAAACCTCAAAGCTGCATGAATTGAGAAGAGTACAACACAGCATGAGGCCACTCCGTCGACTCCAACGGGGGGGCCACAACAACTGCTCTACGTCTCATTGCATTGAACTTTGAATTGAATGTCTCATTGTCAGCATGAGTGCTCACCTGGACAGTCTCAAACTTGCCTTCTGCAGGATGAGAGTGCACGGTATGGGGAGCACAAAAGAGCGAGAGCACAGGATGGGAGATTACCGCATGCGAAACCAACCCGCTGACGGCACGATGCCGCTCGAGACGAGGCCACCGACGGGAGCCCCCAGCCTCCAGATCCCGAGGGCGAGGAGACCAGGTTTTTGTTGCTGGCTTCGCGGAGGGGTCCCCCAGCACATGCAAGCAGCGGTGCCCCCCGCGGCCACCAGGAGCAAGTGGCACTACCGAGCGTGTAAGACGCTATCTATAATAGACGCAATATGTGAGATTGCGTGGATAAGCTTCGAGGCGGCAGTTAACTCACAGACAGTCACAGTTGATTCCCTATCGAGGCCAAACGCCTCCGCGGCAATCACGTGACACTGTATTTCACAGCGGTGTTCTACATAAGCCTGCAGCCACCAGCCACCCCCAGCCCCTATATCAAAAGTACCTCCGTCGCAGTAACCCCTCAATCCTAGAACTTTCGAAGTATATAATGGAGCTAGATACTCGTTTCTCTTCGATGTGTGTGGGCATGCTCTGCAGGCCCACGTGAGTTCATCTGCATAAGTGCGACCCTCCTGATATAGGTGCTTAATCGGGTCATTCCCCGCACACGCAGTTCTCAAACATGTGTTTGTTAGCTCATCAAGGGTGTTTTGCGCAGCCTCCAGGGTACTGCTGTATCCCATGTTGGTACACCTCCAAGGTCCTCATCCATTGGATAACACACAAGCTGCCACCCAGTATTTCAAACGGTATCTTATCGCAATCGTTGTCAAAGGCCGTCTCATTTTCAAAGTTATGAGCAATCCGACGCGCACTCTTATCATCAATGTTCTTCTCTTCCTCCCCCGAACGGGCAACAGTCACTCTAGGTTTGGCTACGTAGTCCAGGATGGCAGGAAGGTGCAACATTTTGAGTCGCTTCTCAATGAAGACTGCCCAATCTTCTCTTCCGAACTGCATTGTCTCCCACCACTCCGCACTGCCATTTTGACCCGCCATGAAGACATCTTCCCATTTTCTCCGGCCGACATATACACCACCACCACGCCATCCGAGAAGAGCAGCTTGGGTATCTCTCGAGCGCGAAGCAAACGCACGACGATGAGCTGACCAATAACCCGGCGCATGCATCATGCCCAACCGCGCCTGAGAGTAGGCGTTGAGTTTGAAGGCATTCACATGTGCGCCAGAGGGTCGTGCATCACGCGGCTCGCTAGCATAACTGAGGGGAAGAGGGGCACGGGGTCGCTTGCTCCCCTGTGGAGCGGCAGACGGACGATTGGCGAAAGCGATGGGGTCGTCACTCACGGCAGCAACACAGCGTCTCTTTTGGCTGCCTCGCGGAGAGGTGTCTTCATCCCGAACCCTCTTGTCGCAAGGGCGCGGGGGTTTGCCTGACACGCTTTCGAGCTCCTCCTGGCTCGCGGTGGGGGTCGGGCCAATGCTTCGTTTCTCTCCGCTGGCGGCAAGACGGGCATCCACGATCTGCGTGCGACGATTCTTGACCACAGGCGCGGGTTCGCTCTCACCACTGTCTGGGGGGGGCTGTGGCCGCAGGACTAGAACCACCCTGCGATTCACACTGCAAACCCCGTTGCTCCAGGAGTCTGGCGCACTCAAACAGATGCGCCAGTTGCAGTGGATCACTCACACCACGGCGGTCAGTGCCCAAAGGAACTCTTATTTTGGACGCAGACGGCACACGACCACAGAGATCCGCCGAGGACAAGGCTCTGAACATCACGGCAGAAGAACGTTGACAATCTTGCTTGTTCGTCGCTAGTCTCTCGCGGCTACCAAACATAACCGCGCTTCCCTGGGGCCCAGGCAAAACAATATGAGGTGACGCAAAAGAGGGCACACGAGAATGCGCATGGTATGCACTGTGAGTGCGCAGCGTAGCTGTCGGAACATAACAAGGCAACAAAGCAGATCAATCCGTATGATGTCTGTTCCACGTCGAACGTTCGCGGCTACCAAACGTAGCCGTTTCACTCTGATGCTCAGGCAATAGCAGAGGGAAATACGCAAGATCCTCTCTGTGTGTGCGCAGCGTAGCTGTCGGAATATCACTGGGCAACTTATCAGAAGAACGTCGGCGATCCACTTGAGACAACGTCAACAAAGCATGCATGCGTGCATGATCCCCACTGCTAGTGTGCAGCGTAGCTGTCGGAAGATAGCTGGGCAACGTATCGGAAGAACGTTGACCATCCACTTGAGGCACAGGCAGCAAAGAGTGAGCATGTGTATGATCTTCACTGTTAGTGTGCAGCGTAGCTGTCGGAATAACGCTGGGCAGAGTATCAGGAGAACGTTGACAATCCATCTTTTGTTTGTTCATTCGCGACCGAGCGCAGCTACCAAACATAGCCGCGTCTTCCTGTGATTCTGGCAACGGAGACCGTGTGTGTGCATGTACTCTGTCAGTGCGCAGCGTAGCTGTCGGAATATATCTGGGCAGTACAACTGGAGAAGGCTGG